GTGTGTGTGTATATATATATGTATATACATAAAAAGGGAAACCAAAGACTATTAGTGATTAGCAGGGGTAGGATGGAGGGTGAAGGAGGAAGGTTTTGTTTGAGAGGCATCGAGTTTATGCTAATAGGTGGTAGAGTATTTTAAGAAAGGATAGCAATAATAGTGGTACAACATGAAAAATGTCATCACTGCCTCTGAGCTGTAAATGTGAAAGTCAATATGTTGATGAATGTCTTGTTCTCACCACAATAGAGATAAATAAATAAATAACCAGGTGAGAACACTGTTAGAACTCTGGAAACCAACCAAAGGCCTGCAGCAATCTAAGGAGCAATCATTTAAGGAAAAAGGATGAAATTTATCAAGAACTCTCAGTGAGCCTGGTGTATGTTAACATGCCATTTCCCACCCTCCATTCTCCAGCTGTAAGGCAGTCTAGAAAAGTAATAATCCGCATTCCCAGTAGAGCCTAGCAGCCACCAGAGCAAGCAGCACGGACTTGGAGCTCTTTCAAAGCCTCATTCCCAAACAACTGTCATTATTTGATCTGTCTAGTGGTTTCCTCGGGAGCTCTGGTAGCATAGTGGCTAAGACACTTGCCTGCTAACCAGACGGCTGGCGGTTCAAACCCACCAGTCACTCCTCGGAAGGAAGGTTGGGCAATCCTACTTCCGTAGTGATACTGCCTCGGAAACCCAAGGAGGGGTCACTATGAGTCGGGGCCGACTCAACGGCACATAACAACAACAACAAGTGGTTTCCTCACTAAAGTTTCCTTCCCCAATTTCTTGGTTCAAGATCAATTCACCACTCATTCACTCAACAGAGTTTAACTGGGTGCCTATATCATGTGCAAGATATGTGTTATGTGTTATAACAAAATGAAAAAAATCTCATCATTGCCCTCAAACTGCTTACAATGCCCTCCCCGCTAAAGATGCTATGTGTACAATTACATAATGCAAGATGTGTCATAAAAGAAGAAAAGTAAATGAATTTAGAAAAAAGAAAACAATTTCTGCATGAAGCAATGTCTAAATCATAACCTTAAAGAATGGATAGGGTTCCAAGAAGGAGACAGAAAAATTAAGCCTTCAGACAAAGGAAACTGTGAATGAAGAAAGATAAGCTGCATGGTTCAAGATCAACACACAAAAATCAGCTGTGTTCTTAAACACCAGTAATGAACAATCCAAAAGGGAAATTAAGAAAACAATTCCATTTAATTCCATCCAAAAGAATAAAATACCTAGGAATAAATTTAATCGAGGAAGTAAAACTATACCTACCAAGAACTACAAAACACTGCTGAAACACTGCTGAAAGAATTTAAAGGAGATCTAAATAAATGGAAAGACATCCCTGTTCATGAAAGGAAAACTTAATGTTGTTAACATTATCAACATCACCCAAAGTGATATACAGATTCAACACAATTCCATCAAAATCCTAAAAGGTTTTTTTTTTTTTGCAGAAATGGAACAGCCGATCCTCACATTTCATGGAATTGCAAGGGGCTTTGAAGAGTCCAAACAATCTTGAAAAGGGAGATCAAAGTTGGTGGACTCACACTTACAGATTTCAAAACTTACAACAAAATTGAAGTATTCAAAATAGTGTGGTACTGGCATAAGGACAGACATATAAACGAAGAAACTATAGTTAACAGTCCAGAAATAAATCCATACATCTATGGCCAGCTGATTTTCGACAAGGATGCCAAATCCATTCAATGGGCAAAGCATAGTTTCTTCAACAAACGGTGCTAGTACAAATGCAGATCAACATACAAAAGAATGAAGCTGGATTACTACTTATCATATACAAAAATTAACTCAAAACAGATTAACAACCTAAGTATTAAGAGCTAAGACTATAAAACTATTAGAAGAAAATACAGGAGTAAATCTTCAAGATTTTGTTTTAACAATTGGTATGCGACCAATACCACAAGCAACAAAAGACAAAATAGAAAAAATGGAACTCATCACAATTAAAAACTTTTGTGCATCAAGAGACATTATCAAAAAAGCCAAATGACAATCTATAGAATGGGAGAAAATATATGGAAAGTGTTTATCTGATAAGGGTTTAATATCCAGAATACAGAAAACTCAACAAAGACAACCCAATTAAAAAAGGGCAATGAATTCAAATAGACAACTGTCTAAAGATAAACAAATGGTCAACACTACATGAAAAGATGCTGAACACCATTTAATCATTAAGAAAATGCAGATTAAAAAAAAGAAAAAAAAAAAACAGAAAATAACAGGTGTTGATGAAGATATGGAGATATTGCTCATCCATTGCTTCTGAATATAAAATGGTACAGCTGCTGTGGAAAATAGTTAAATAAAAAAAAAGTCAAATCCAGAACTACCACATAACCCAGCAATTCTACTCCTAGCTATATACCCAAAAGGACTGAAAGCAGGATACAAACAAATACTTGTAATCTATGTTCACTGCACCACTATTCACAACTGCCAAAAGGTAGAAACAAGTGAAGTGTCTCCCAAGAGATGAATGGATAAATAAAATGTGCTGCATAGACAATGGGCCTATAAGTTCATGTGAATGATCAGAATTCCCAGGTGTATAGTAGAGCTGACAAGGGGCAAGGTTATGGTCATTACTTGGTCACAGCCAG